ACTACAAAGTGTTACCAAAATTACTTTTTTTCACGGTATTGATGAAGCTATATATACCAAAGAATTCGGGTAAATTACGCTTAGCTACTCACCCATGTGCTCTCATCTGCTCTATAACAACTTGTCGGGGACTTGTTCCGAGCTCACTTCCCCCGTTCGCTGATTGTTGCCTTCTTCTGGGCATGGTTATAGACTCGTTATAACACAAATAATATGTAATATAGAATCGAAGGTACTTTCTTGACCTTTGCCGAGAATGATTGTAAAGCTCTCACATTACTATAGAAAGCCAGGAACATATCCTGAGAATAGCCAGGCATAATGACATGATGCTGACAGATCTGAGGTGTTGTGTTAACACCCCTGTGGTTTTCTTTCCCAAATGAATAGACACGTTTATCTGGCGTTTTTGAAACGAGGAAAATCGTACATTTGAAGCGCTCTAACTTTTCCGCAATAAAAGATTGTTTTCCAAATTCGCAAGAATAGAAATCCAATCTGGAACTAAAAAACGGTGTCGGCGATTTTTGATTTTTGCTTTCGTTGTTTAGATATTGCCCAGTTTGTACCCTGATACACGGTAAATTCAATGATCAATAATTGGGACTCTGTAGCGTCTGATCTAAAGCAGTGATGAAAAATCGCCGACACCGTTTTGAAGTTTAATGTATAAGGAAAGTGTTAACATGGTTTTCATTGCTAAGACGGCAATCCTGACAATTTTGAGGCAATTCAAACAAGGTCCAAGGTACCAGATCAATTCCTGGGTATGGATGGAACAGAGCTTGATGCAAAATTGATAGACTTTGAGCACACTCTAGAGCAAAASAGGCAGACCCTCCTGAAGCTACATTTCATCGAAAAGAAGGCTAGAAATGAGGTCCCAATCATTCCCCTGTACGTAACTAAACAACAAAGAGCAAATGCAGAAGATGTCAATAACCTCACCAAAGCAGCAATCCTTAAACTCATTGAAGAAAAGATCAAATTAATCAATGATGATATTGTTAATGAGAAGTTTTGTTTGCAATTAGAGGTGGTGAAGAAAAAATTGGCATCCACAAAAAAAGAACTAGTTATTGCATTATACATGGAAATTGAAGAAGAACTGGATGACACACCAAACCAGGAGCATTTCGAAATGGCAGCTGATTCAGATGATGACCCGGATGTAAATAATGAGTCAAATTTAACTAAACTGTAGGACCTTAAGTATAGCAAATATTTTTTTGTGCTGTGCAGGGGAAAAAAAAGAATACCTGTGTGTGCAGGGAAAAAAAAGAATACCTGTAGATAAGCGCTACATGTATATAAGCCATTATTATTTTAGTGCTTCCTTTTTCTCTCTCCTCCGCTTAATTTGTGCACATCCATATTAGCTGCACAGCTATCCTAAAACAAGATGTTCTCCCTCCCTGAGAAAGAAAACTTGACACACAGCCAGCTATGCTCTTTCAGTGAGGACACTCTAACCACAAAACACACAGTATTTCTTGTTCCATTGATATAACATGATTCCCTAATGTGAACAGCTAGAAATATATTTTAATCAAACCTATTTAGAACACTGCATACAAAATATGAATAAGTAAGATAAGGCAGTTGATTATATTGACGTGGTTAAGTTTGAATGATGTTTACACTAATAGAACGATAYATTGTTATAGAGTTGATGTACATCTTCTCACAGCAAAATGAACAAAACAAAGTTTTTGGAACATAACAGTTTCAAGTTATTAATCTTGTGCGTGTGCGGCTACATTCATTTGGATTTCTGCKTCTGCAATGTAGGTGACAATGTCGCAGTGGTTTAGGACGGGGTTTTTTTTTCTGAATCAGCTATCCTTGGTGTTAGATTATCCATCAGTAAATCCTGAACTGGCTGGGGTGCGTCCTTTAGTAGACATCTCRGTTGCAAACGTCCTGTCGAGGTTGTTGTCGAAATCGTTGTTGTATGGCCGTACGTTCGCGCTAATGGCGATGGTACGAGTTCGTAGACTTTCTCAGGGGTATCTTCCAGCAATTCTACTCCAAGTTCACGATTGTCGATAGTAAGAGGGTCAACAATTATATGATTAGCCTGCGATGTGATTCCTGTATCATTGAACGATGCAAATAGTCTTTCGGATCCCCAAACCATTCTTGCGYGAGGYGTTTGCACTACCAGGAAAACTTCTGCCTTCGTCATCACATGTAGCTTGAGTGCATTCTTAAACATTGTGTTCCTGCKGCGATATAAAACTCCTTTACGTTTGCRGCTCTCTTCGATATACTYGATCTTCTCTTTGCTTCTTGCWGTTTTGCCGCTTTTCTTATTTCCCTTTTCCATCGTACAGAGAAGGCAACCAAGAAAACTTAACAACGCAAAGTAGGTACGTGTGTGTCGATCGTATTCTATCGTGAAATTGGCGCGAATTTATTACAAATAGCATGGCCAATGTCTCGTATTTCATTCCAACACGTTTCTCAGTTAATATTTTGTATGGTTCCTTGTTCATTGTGATTGTATTTACTGCATTTAGAAAAGTCTGCCGCCACATCAAGGGTTTTCCCGGGAAAATGACATGCTTACTTTTGACGAACCAATGAGCAATCAGTACATTTCCTTTTGACCAATGAGAAGAAAGATGATGACAAGGTCAAGACGATCTGACCTCTAAATATACCAGTGCAGGATTAATAGACATTTCGC